TTTTTTTTTTTTTTAAAGCTGCCTTCTCCTCGTCGGGGGACAGCGATATATTTCCTCTCACCTCACATACTTTTAACTGGCGTTCTGCCATGTTATGGAACATATCTTTCTTTCACTACCTACCTACCACTACTCCTAAGGCTATACAGGGGACCCCTGCAAACATAGCTTTCTACTTCTCTTCGGTGAAGGGAGGTTACCTCTCTCGGTGGAGAGAGGTAACGGCATGTTTGCCCCTTTGCCCTAGCGTTTAGGGTGCAGGGTTGGGGCCGCTGGTTGGGGGCCTGGCTAACACAAGGACCGAGCATTTGCCAGTAACTGTGCCTCCCTTTTCATCTTCCCCCTCCTGCATCAAGTAACAGCAGTGTCTAAAGCCAACACGCTCCCACACACCATACGCAACCCACTCACATGCGCACTCACACCCGTATTGGCTGAAGACCTTACTGATATTATATGTTTCTAATCTCTCCACTGATTTTCAGTTGTCGAACAATTTCTTCCCCCCCCAAGAAAAGGTTATATTTGTCTCTGGCGAGATAGTCGACCCTTGTTTTGCTCGAGGGAAGACTTGAGCTGTCAATCCAGAAAAAATAAAGTATTGTCGTTATTTACGGTGTTTCCTTGTCTTTTTTCCCCGTTTTCAGAGGGAAAATATGGTAGTGAGATGGGATCCTGATGGGCAAGTGAATACGATCGGGTGATAGTCTCTATACGATCGGGTGATAGTCTCTATACGATCGGGTGATAGTCTCTACTTCGTGGTTCTTATGGATAGACGGACTATAAATGAGGGTTGCACATTCATCTATAGCATAGCAGTTAGACAATTGTTTCCCCACCTTGGGTGTGATGACCACCTCTTTTTTCCCATTTCTTGTTGCTCTGGGGAGCCTGGGTGTTCTGTATGCTTTCCTCTACTAGGCCTTGCTAGCGTGATTCTGCGTGAATCTGGTCCGCTTTATGGACCAGCTTCGTACTGAGCTTACTTTGAAAGGCTTGCACGCACTTTGTGACCGTGGTCCATAGAGCGGCGAGAATGTACAGTTTGAGGAAACCCCCTGAGGGCATAGCGTGACTCTACATTCATAGAGTTTGAGGAAACCCCTGA